CGCAAGCCACAGAGTGATCACTGTAAATCCGTTCTCCTCCGGAGGCCATCTTGAAAATGGCGCCTAGACCTGTGATTAAGACTTTGGTGATCCCCCCACCCCGTTTCGAGAGGGAAGGAAATCTGATCTCCGGCCTTTTCCAGATTTCTAGACCCCCAACTTCTTTGCCTTCCCAATGGCAGATTGACCAAGAACCAACAGGACCAAACGCCTTACTGCTCGGGGCCCTCCAGCTGGCCAGCACAAGCAACACTTGGGCCCGCTGCCTGCATCCTCATGAGGACCCAGCAGGGCGTGATGGGGAGACAGGAACCTACTCTATTCCTAGCGCAAGAGTCCTAGTGGCGAAAAGCAGCCCTCCCCCCCATCTTTGATCGGAAGCAGCACCAAGAGGCAAAGGGAGTGCTGGTGAAGACCGGGAGGGCAGAGCAATCCCTTCCGCCCATACTCGGCCCGCAGAGGCAGAGGCACTGGGGTCTCTGTTGGGCTCGCGAAGCGGCGGAGCTGGCCTTTGTGGGAAGACGGCTGCCGCCACGACACGCCTTCCTCTGCTCGTTCCAAGCGGCAGTAAGCAGGAAGGGGAAGAAGTCACCTGCCGCCACCTTTCTCCCCGCCTCCCCTCCTTTCTCAACACTAGAGACTACCGTTTCTCAGAGATTAAACAAGTTAAACAGCTAACACACCCCCTTTTCTTCTTCTTCTTCCCATGCGTGAAGGCTCCAGAGCCATCCCGTTCCCCAAAGCAAAGGATCACACCATTTTTTGCGCACACCTTCCGCCCACCCACCCCGTTTGCACCTTGCTCCAAAGGCAACGCACCCCGACATGCGCATGTCGAAAAGCAGAGCCCCTTCTCGCCCGCCACCCTGCTACTTCCAATGCCAGAGGGAGACGCCAACGGGAGAAGTCATTCCTTCGCGAGGGGAGGGAGGAGCCCCCGCTTCAGCAGGCGGCGCGTTGCAGCAACCCGGTTCCCCCGGAGGAGAAACCTGCCCCACCGCCTGTGCCTCCCTCGGCACGCCCTCCTTGGCATGTCAAGTCTACGGGGCAGGCGCAGCAGGAGTCCCAGTGCCTGGGCTGAGGGTCACACGAGGCAAGGAGCCAAGGGGACGCTTGGGGCAAGTCCCACCCCTGTGGCTCAGGTCCATTGGTCTGCTGAGGAGAGGGGGGAGCACCCTGCTTTCATACTGGCTGGTCGGCCGGCCAAGCCTATCTGCGTTGCTTGAAGCCCTGCGAACCGTCGGGGCCCAGTGGCTGCCTGATCACATTGCTGGGCGGCCTGGGGTCTTCTGGCTGGGAGATCCTTGTGGGCCTGAGGGGGAGAAGGTGGGGGAGAGATAAGAACAACACTCAGTCCAGCTAAAAAAGCTCCCCCTCCCCCAAGTCTGTAGGAGAAATTATACTTACCGTATTTTTCGGAGTATAAGACGCACCTCCCCCCCTTAAAAAGGGTGAAAATGTGGGTGTGTCTTATACACTGAATGTAGCCCCACCCACTCACCCCCACCCTTCAGCCTCTGCCTCCCAGCAATTTACCTCTTTGCAGCAAATGGGGGCTTGTGAGGCTTCAATAAACTATAGCAATCCCTGCAGCCTCTAACAGCTGATGATCGGGAGAAATTGAAATTGAAACTTACTGTTTGCTCCAAATAGCAAATTGCTGGGAGGCAGATTTTATTTTTTCTTGTGCTAATCAGGCTGTTTGCTGCAAGGAGGTAAGTCAGCAACTATAAATGCCTATACAATGTTCAAATTATTAGACTTGTTTTCTGAAGAGTGCTTTATTATTATTTCTAGACAGCAAAATGAAGCTTTTTAAAATAAACGCTTGATCTGAAGACGCCCTGTGCTATTGTTTTGAAATGTGCTATTCTTTTAAATAGCAGAGAATAACTACAGTATACTTCCAGAAAGCACATCAATTTTAACAACATCTGTACAAGTATAGTCTGAAATATAACACTTCCAACAGTGTATATTGTCTGTACTGTTGGTTGCAAGGAGGCAAATTGCTGAGAGGCAGATATTTTTCCCTTGTTTTCCTCCCTAAAATCTAGGTGCGTCTTATACTTTGGAGCGTCTTTTACTCCAAAAAATATGGTACTTTACTTTATTGTCATTGTACGTATGTACACAGTATACACATACAACGAAGTTCACATAACCCCCAGACGCCAGGCCCAACACACATAACAATCCCCAAACCCCCACCCACCGACCAAAAAATCCCTCCCCATAACCACCCAAGCATCCACACAACAGACCAAGTAGTGCTGTCCAACAGCTCACTGATGGTGGCCCTTTAGTTCATTGTTGAGTGCAATTATAGCTCTGGGATAAAAGCTATTCAGAAGATGTGCGGTCTGAGTTTTAATTGTTCTGAATCTTCTGCCAGAAGGCAAAAAGGTCTAAAAAGATTGTAAGCAGGATGGGAAGAGTCTCTGAGAACGTTGCGCAACTTCCTCGGACAGAGAGATGCGAAGATGTCATCCAGGGCTGGTAGCTGGAGCCCAGTGATATTCTGGGCAGTTTAATTGATTCTCTGTAGAGCTTAGCCGCAGCTCTAAGAGGACTAGGTGGTCCAGCCCCAAAGAGGCCCATGAGGAGATGCTCCTTTGGGAAACCAATCCCAGAGCTGCACCGCACCTCCCTCCAGATTGAAGACTGACCCAAGGCCCTTAAAGTGGCTTCCCCTAAGCTGAACCCAATGGGATAAAACCCTGAGCTGGCAGGCCCTACACCTGCATCTTCTGGGCATGGACAGGATCCTGGCCTGACCCTCAGCAGGCAGAGTGGGGCAAGAGAAATGTCGCTGTGTCAGGGCTCCCTTACCTGTCAAGGATAGGTTTTTCTTGCTCCTCTTCCGGACTGGCGCTGCCCAGGATCCGCTTCCTGGCCTCTGCGTATTCGGCCTCCCTCTGGGCCAGGGTCTTCACCGGGATGGCAGGCCGGCTGGCAGAGTTGGGGTTGGTCAGCACCCCGTTGCTGGTGGGCCGCTTCAGGATCCGAATCTGCGGAGGGGGCCCCGAGGGAAGACTGTCGTCCTGAATTACGATCGGCACTTTGGGTGGGGACTTGGATTTCCTGCTGGAAGGAAGGAAGGAAGGAGGGGGCCGACAATTTTTTTGTGTGCAGTTGGCCAAAACAAAAACAAAAAAACCCCAACCTTTCAACCAGTCCTCTGAACTATTTCCCCGAAGCGCAAGGCAGACAGACAAGCTTATTCCTCTCGGTTGCCCATCAAGATTTTCTGACTAATCAGCAGAATCAGGGCTCAGTTGTTTATTTTTACATGGAATCTTTTTAAAAACAAACAAAAATCAGAACACCACTCTATTTTCCCAGCCATACCCAGCGTGGAAGCTACTGAATGATTCTTACCTTTCTTTTTGGCTGATCTTCAGTTTCTTTTCCAGTCGCCTGTCTATTTCCTGCAAGGCAACATCATGGGGTCAAGTTCCATCCCACTGGGGCCAGACACTTTGTAGTACCAAGTGACCAGCTGGCCCTCCCTTTTCCCCGGCAAGACAATGCCAGATCTCACCATCGGTTACTAACTCATCTTTGAAACATCAAGAGGTTCCCAGAGAGGGGGGGAAAGGGAGGGAGGGGGGAGGGGGAGAGGAAAACT